AATTCTGAAAATTGTGCAAATCACACAGCACCCTAATAACTATATTTAAACCCTGAAAATGAATATACTATTTTTTACAGTATTAGACCTTGCCTGTTTCCATCTCTTTATTATATAAATGCACCTGGAAACCAGTAGCATAACTTTGAAGACCTGGACTAGGGGACACTGTTAATGCAGCAACGATACAAAACATTTTCGTACCTTCACTGCATTGCCTTGACATTTGAATGAGGTACCACAGAGAGATGACCCACAAAGTCGTTCCATACCGTGGACAACCTCCCTACATTTATGAGAGTGTTTGGGAATGACAGAATTTCTTATTTGGTGCTTTGTGGAAAAGCCAAACTTGGTCATAGCTGTTTGAAAGTGCTGGCAAAGCCCCATGACCCTGTGAGGATAATCTTTGTTCATCCTCACCGTCACAAAACCATGGCCTTTCGTAAGATAAACAAGGAGCTAAAGATGCAGTAAGAAACCTGAAGGAATCAAATTAAGGTTTGCTGTACAGGATTTGGCTGTTACATGCCTGTGATCCCACCGCTCCAGCAGAGCTGCAGAAGTGTAACTGAGAGTGGAATTTCAGACCCTCTCGCCCAAGATAAAACGCTCATTACGGCTACCCTGGCCGCCAGATTTCTCTACTTGAAAGCTGAAATTCTCGCAAATAAATCTCTCTGGCCTGAAAAATGAGAATCTGGTATCAGGCAGAGCAGGAAAATTACTCTCTGAAGAATGGATATAAGGAAAGATAACACAGAAGCAGTTTACTTTTACTGCCATAATGTTGTTTGCAAAAGCCAAACACTGAGAATTTACTAAACAATATGAGTAGGGACTTCTGGCACAACGCTGCGAAAACAGCTATAATTACCTTCTCATGACACAAAGTCAGAATTCATGGCAGCCAAGTTAGATGTCATGATTCCTCATGTCAATATGGTATCACAAAAATAAATTAGGAGGGAAAAAGTGTAACAGGTAAAAGATCTCTAATTGCTGTATTTGATTACTAGAAGATTTACAACCACTTAAGATTTCTCCCCTCTCTGAAGTGAAATCCAAGGAGAGATGCAGAGGATATGGGAAAATCTCTGACGATCTTTTTCCCTAGAAATTGCTCCTTGCTAGGGGGTAGGTAGCAAAGGAGGCAGAGAGAATGCCCTGTGCTAAGGAGAACTGTGGGAACATTACATCTCTCCCTTATTTCAGGGGTTGGTGGAGTTTTTTTCCCCTTGGAGTGCTTTTGTTCTGTGCAAATTACATTTTACTTTTTGGGAGCACAACCGCAGAGGAGAATGGTCGCCGTGGCTGCTAAACCGCGGACCATGGGCATCGAACTGCGTTGAGAGCTGCGGGAGGACCCAGGGATGGAAGGAGGCACCTGCTCACAGCAGGGCAGGAATCATGGGAATTTACACCCAAACAGGTGGTGACATGGCCGCAGCGGTATGTCCTACAGGAGGGACCAGGACTGGGCTGGAAGTGCAGCTCATTCAGCAACTGCTGTGGCAACCACGCCTCCAAAAATGGTGCAGGTGAGATGATGCATTTGCTCTTCAGGGTTTTGCCCTCGGTGACTACAGACTACTCCACCTCTGTCCAAGCCTTCACCGACAGTTCATCTCAGCTGCTTCTGCAGCACTCAATGGTACATGAAATACAGCTTGAAAAATTGCACAGGCTTTCTACAGTGTTCAACTTCATTAAATTTGTTTGCTTAACTTAAATTACATCCTTTAACCCTTTAGCCATGCACATAGCTCCCTGCCATCAGCGGCATGACTGTTAGTGTGTACATTGTTTGCTTCTCTACACTAATTTGTATGTAAAGAAAAGAGGTTGAAGGGGTCACTATTCTGAAAAAACATGGTTAAAAATATATGTCCTTCTTCTCTCACCTCCTTACATCACAGGAAGTGAAGCTAATTTCAAATTACCCCAAACTAGCCAGTAATCAGGTTTCAGAAATATCTTGTAGAAGCTCAGTTTACCTTGGTGCCCGTAACAGAAGACTCCTGAAGACAGAGAAACTTTCATCATGTATAAATGACTAACAATTACATCAAAACAAATGGAGGCCTTCAAAGCAGGGTGGAAAAATGGAGGGAAATTCCATCCGATTAAGATAGAATATAATTATCTTCTACAGGAAATAAACGCTATACTTTTAACAAGTGACCATTTGGACAGATTCAGCACAGGGTTATGATTGTGTAGTGATTTCTCATCGAGCTGCAGCATATCTCCCTGTAGAGATGACAGATCTTAGCATTTTCTTGTAATTATTTTTCTACATAGGGTCTTAATTGGGAACTGGAAACGTGACAGCTCCCAGAGCAGGCTGCGTTTCATTGACTATTACCATTTCTATTTCATCTTTTCTAATTAATTCAAAGACTCATAAGTACCTCATACTGGTATGTTACTACACTGAGTTAATACCATGGCAACATTTCAGTAATACCAAAATCTCTCAACTTTCACCTTAGCAATTCTCTGCTCATTCCAATTTACCATCACTGCATTCCATGAGCCAATATACGCTGCTGCTATTGAAACCAACCTATGCTGTTTAAATATTAAATAGATATAAAATCTGGATCGTTGTAAACAATAAGTATTTATATACAAGCAGGAAACACAGTATTACAATAAATAGATATAAACTGAACTTGCAAATGGATATGAAAGTATTTAAAGAAAGGACAAAAATCATCGGTAAAATAACAGTTCTTAAAGGAGATTGGGACAAGATTCAATAACGCATCTTCATAAAATATTTCTGGTAATAGATTACTTGATAACATTTTCTACCTCACTCTGTAAAGGGATGAAAATCAACCAACTAATGATCACCATATGTGGGTAAATATGTCAGATTTGATAGAAAAAAACATTGCCATGCAACATGGAGCCTAAAGGCACTAATGTAATGTAAACCAACCACAGAGTAGATACAAAACTTCTACTGCATTCATTCAGCAATAAAACAGAAAAAACAGTAATATTTGTATCAATTTTACAGAATAAGGGATTCCAGAGCCCTCTTGGTCATGGTTGGGTGTGTTTTCCCCTGGCCAACCTGACTGCGATCATGATCTGAACTGTCCTTCCAAAGAATAAAGCGTTTCACTGAAGTGTAGTTAATTCTGAAACCTAACGATGGCAAGGCTATAAGCAGTGCTCACTCTTTCACTTCTGATCACTTTAATTTCCTGGCAGCAGGACAGTGAATCTTTAACTCAACAACTACGCACTGAAAATACAGTTACAGATTAAATCTTTGTGTATGAATAATACGGTGCCTCTCCTCTAAATATGTATTGTGTCTGTTCTGACTACAGCGTTAATTATTAAATACATCCATCCATTATTGATATAAGATTATTCTCTTTCATTTTTGAAGTATATTTAGCCTTTTTTTTTCTGAAGATTTCTAGCAAGAGACCCTCAAAGTGTGATGTAGGAATGCACGTAGTTTCAAAACCTATGCCATGGATGAATTAACTCTATTTATATGCATATCTTTGTTTAATGAAACTTGCTATTTCTAACCATGCCTATTTACAGTATAATGATACATATAATGGTTAAATTAAATCAACTGGTCATAAAACCAATTTTGTGATGCCCAATGCTGCACGTATTTTGCATTAGCTGTATGTAATGGATAATGGACTTTATAACGTACTTCACTGTGGAAGTAATTCATGAGAAACCTGGCAGGAAAACCACTCCTCAACAAAGACCAAATATCCCAACCATCCCACAGCTCTATTCAGGGCTTCACCAGTCAGGCAAAAAAATTTGTCTGCATCTCCTGAGGAAGGTCCTGCTGCCCTAAGCCCCACTCTGATCTTGGGGAGCATCTCCTGTCCCCCTTGCTGGGGAAAGCCCAGTTCACTGGCTGCTGCCACGTCTCCGCTCACTGACTCCCAGCTCCTTCCATCGTCACATTTTTAATTACATCTCTGAGCCTAAAGCCACAGAAAGTGAAGGAAAATCCTTCTACCTAGAGGGCTGGGTCCAGCCCAGCAGGCATACACATAATCTAGATTTTTTTTACATGGAGACTTAAATAATTTATGTTTTCAATTTTTTATAACTTTAGCAGAGAGAGGCAGCATTGGAAACAGCCCCCTCTGCTTCACCCCTCATCTCTGGGGGTCACAGCAGACATGGCTGAGCTGGCAGCATAAATTACAGCCGGCAGCACGTCTGTGCAGAACACTTAAATGCGTGTGCAATTTCAAATACATAAATAATTCCACTGACTTTACCAAAGCACCAGAAAACATTCAGCTAATATTCTTTCATAACTTCTCAGGAGTATTTGAGAAGCAGCACTTTGATCTTTATTAGCTGTCAAGTCCATGATGAGGCAAAGTACGCTCCTCAGCAGGCTGCTGGAGACAGGCCTGGAAGCAGCTATGTCCTTCTGGAGTTTATCTGGACATTTACAAACTGGAGTTTGCTTGCAGTACCTCCCATAAATGTGTGCTACTGCAGTTTATTGGGACCATGAACCATCCTCATGCTCTGTGCTTGTGGACAACCAAGGGTTGATGACCTCCTACCAAGGCTGCACACCCCCAGTATACCCTGGCAAGAGGGGACTACTACGGAGCCAGGAAGGTGTTAACACGCAAGACCATGAACCAGGGGACGTGTCCCACCTTTTTCCCTCCAGACAGAAGAAATATGTTCGCATAAAGCCTTTTGAGCAGAAATCCACACAATGCAAATCACTTCAGTAGCTTTTGGGCCCCCTGCATGACCTGGACCAAGTCACAGTTCCTACCACCGTGCATGCACAGAGATACGGGACTTACCCTAAGTGATGGGTGACGCTCACAAGCCTTCTCCCGACCAGAAGGCAGCGCCAGTTTTTCTCCCTTTGACTAAGAATGTCAGCAATTCCAGCTTGACACAGAGCTGGCTTGGTTGACAGTCTAACATATAAATCATGGGTCAAAGATAAGATAAACACATACCAGTGTAGTCCTCGTAGCATTCACAAGTGTAGCCCCCTTCTCGGCTCCGGCACAGTCCGTTGCTCCCACAGGGGTTGGAATAGCAGAGGTCAATCTCTGTCTCGCAGTAGTCACCCGTGAAGCCTGGGGGACATCGGCACCGCAGCCCATTGATGGGGTGGATGGGGCGGAACAGGACAGTGTTGGAGCTGATGAATGGCGCTGAGCTGTCGAACTTCAGGACGGAGACACACTTCATGTAGTTCTCACAGGGCTCGCGCAAACAGATGTTGTCATCGAAGGGCAGCACCCTCTGTGTGGAAATCATGGTCAGCAGGGTCCTATTGAGGTAGATCTGCTCCTGCAGGTCCTCGGAGGGGAAGAACTTGTTTCGAATGCCACCGGGGAGCAAAGCTGAAAAGGTCACGTTCAGGATGTTGGAGCTGACGTCCGTGTCATTTTGGATGTTGAAAACGAAGATGCCGTCCTTGGCAGTGGAGAGCACTGTCGCGACCCCCTCCACGAACAGGGACAGGAGGGGAGAAAGGAACCTCTCCTGGGACATGTTCTCCAGCCGCACCGTGATACTGTTGGTGAGCATGTCGTCCGTGATGATGGTGACACGCAGGGTGCAGACTGCCGTGACACTGTGGACACCATCTGAAAGGAGGAGAGAAAGATAACAGCAATGTCAGAGAGAAAGCTTCAACACACGGACAAGGAGGCTCCCGCAGTCTCCTGGAAATAAAACAGACCTGCAAGGCGTTTTGGGGCACTGGGATGGGAGAGGGAAATGTATCCGTGTTCTGCAGTGACTACCAGTGCCTTTACTCAGGAAAACAAAACAAAGTATCTTAAGGATTGCAACACAAAGGACCAGGGACATCTCAAAGAGTCCAGAATACCTGGAGAATGCCCCAGACAAATGATTAACAAGAGCAAACAGACAGGCTGAGAGCCCCGGGATAGTCAAGGGGAAGCCAAGGGGAAGGGGCCTCTCCTGACAGCAGCTGAATGGATCATCATACAAATCACTGCTAGTCTACAACTGGTGCTGGGAAGCTGTCGATTTTCACAGAACAACAGCAAAATTACCTTCTCCCGACATGGTCTCAGACTTAAGGAGCCAGCACTATGCACAGAGAGAGAATTGTTACCAGAGCTGTAGATAAAAGTCACCTAAGGAAACAAATCTTCACATCTGAACACCTGAACTTCTTCATTCCTCACACCTAACTTCGTCAAAATACTTCTATGAAAATTAAAAAAAAAATTCAAATAAAATGTCTGTAACAAAACACAGGCATTTAAAAACCTCTTCCATTTACCCTCCCTTTAAAGCCTTCCTGCTATTGCTGTGGATGCTCTGCAATAAAACTTGTAAATATATAAATATAGCACTAATACCTAACACTGGACTGAGAGATGCCACTGTAAAATCTCAGTACACCCTGAGGCTTACAGTAGTGCTGTGAACGTACAAACTCTAGAGCATTCTATCATTATGAAATATAATTATCACACAGTGAGTGCTATAATTAATCCAAATTTAATGCGAGCACGGAATGGGAAGTTGCATCATCACTGAAACCAAAACACTTAGTTTAATTCTGTCTCCTTGCTAACATTAAGGACTCATTAAGAAACTACAGATCGCATTACAGAAAACATGGCTAGTATTACAGCAGCATCTAGAAATCCCAAGAGAGATCAAAACTGGCTTCTGATAGGAAATGTTCCTTCTCAAAGATCTCATAGTGTAAATAAACAACCAGAAATGGGGGTGAGTTCATCTCATGAGAGAGATGAACTGTTTTCAGTGGCCAATATCAGGCCCCCAGGGGGACTGAGAACTGAATCCAGTTCCCCCAGGTCCCAGCACAGTGCCATAGTCATGGTCCAAAGTATCCCAGAAATAATCGTTTCACAAGTGACCTGTGCGGAAACGGATTTTGAATCCCATCAACACAAAACTGCAGGAGAAACTGCATTTGAATCAATCTGGCTTCTTTCCTATTCACTGTCACCGCTACACCTCAAATGCTATTTTGTTTTAAGAATAAATCTATCGTTGGAAGATTTTTCCTCCAATAATATAGTAGCAATATAGTAAATTAACCAAATGGTTTTTGACTCCCTCCTCCTGATCAGGTTGTCTGTAAAAGCTCAGTTGTTGACTTTTTTCAACACTGAAGCAGCTTTTAGGCAAACAGAAAAATCTTTTCTCCTGTGTGCTACTTTACTACTGCCTAGCTAAAACCAAACAGTCAGAAGAGGTCATTATTGGGGTGATCTGTTTGATGTGCCCCCCACAGCAGCTCACGCACTGGCTGTCACTTTCTCCCAAGTTTGCAGAAAACTTTATCTCCCCTTCCTCAGACTCCAGAAACATGCAGTTTTGGCCTCCATCAAGACCCAAAGCAACCTTTAAAAATGATCGGTAGTCCCAGTCTTCATTGCAACCTCCTCCTCCTGCACAGTCTGTGGATTTGTGGCCAACAGACAATACCGGATGCACCGTATTTTTATAAAATGACATCCTCAGACTAGTTTACCCACTTCTGTGAACTGCTCGTCCCCCTGAACGGCCAAAAGCAGAACAAACTATTCACTTTTTTTTTCCTAAAGCAATTGACATTTGCCTGACTGTCCCATAGGGTGCCTGAACTATTTTGCTATTTGTTGCACAATATGTTACAGAAGTTCCATCATACCAGCGAGAACGCTGGACAATGGGTCCTTTTCTTAAGAAAACACTATGATCTACAGCCTGTGGTATGTATAGTAAGAACACAAAATACGATCCACTGTCTGACAACGCACTAGAGTCTACAAACTGTCATAATCAATATCAACTGTCACAATATGCAAGAGCTTCCCAGCATTCACAACAGCTATTCTGACACAGTTAATAAATCACTGGAAAAAGCCCGGTGTCAGATACCACACAGCCTCCTTGTTCCACAGGCAGCACAAAAGAAAACTGGGCACAGACGTATAGCTGCAAAATGAAGTCGTGTTTTAAAAGCCAATTCGGCTTTGTGCAGCCCTTTTGCGGAGCACTAAAATAAAAAGAGAGTAAAAAGGAGCTGAGCATGTATACTATAGGCAACAAAAGAGCAGCATGGCTATACAGCCTGCTGGACAAGCGCCTCTTTCATATCATCAGCAAGTCTGAGAGCAGCATCACGGGATATGAGCATCCATTCATTCACTAATTCATGGAAAGTTGAAACAATCTGTGGTTTTATGGGACCAAATTAGTACCTATTCTACTTTCAACAAACAACATTCGCTTTGAGGGATGGAACAAGCACAATAAACAAAGTGGAAATTTTGTCCTCGTCTTTATTGGGAATGGAATTAAGCTCTAAATACATGATATTATACGTGTTTTGAGATTCACAGGTGAAATATCCCATGGAAGTTTCAAATATTTCCTGCCAGAATTGTGAGAAAAATTGTATTAGGAAGTACTATTTTATGGAGCAGTAATATTTTATGTCCTTTCACTGCCTGACATGCCTACCGTACACAGCTATCTGATAGACACACACAACCACTCTGTTATTCTGCTAAAAAGGCTCTAACAACCTGAGTTTTCAAAGGTCTTATGACACACCTATACAAATTCCCTATCGTGTTTTGGCACATGCAAGATGGCTTCAGTCAGGGGGTGTGAAACACCCTTCAAAGGATGCTACCCAGGAGGAACTCTGGCTACGCTTCACTCTTTAGAGCAGACCTTCGCACAGATGAATACATAACATATATGCAAGGCTTAGCTGTCACTCGTTCTCAAAGCCATCATCTGCCTGGCTTCAGCAAACCGGCTGGATGCAGGAGTCTTCCTGAAGGAGCTCTAAAAACATGAGCCCTGCTGGCAGATGGGACCCACAGGCATCCTGCTGACAGCCTGGA